GTGCACCAACTGGTCCGCCTTGCACTGCTGTATTGCTGGCGTCGTCTGTCAAAAACCGTACCGTGGCGGCAAGGTCCGTCTTTTCCCGCTCCAGATCACCAAGTCTTGCCTTCAGAGCTGTCACCTCCGTGGTTAGGTCTGCAACCTGTGTCACCAGGTTTGCCAGCCGTTCGTCTAACAACTCGGACATACACGTCCTAAATTCCTTCATCATGTCCACGGGGGCCTCATGATTTCCTGAAGACAACGAGGCACTGTACGAACCTCCTGTAGCTGTGCGCAGGGCAGCGGGAGGGGTGATTGCCTTCCTTCGACGTGACTCCAAAGCGGTGGGGGTGCCTGAACCGCGGCTTAGGTTAGAACTACCTTTTGCAGACATATTTGCAGCCATACTACATACGTATACACTTCTCTAACTAACTACTACCTACATGTATTTAACTACCTAGTACCTACCCTTCTCCAGACCGGCCTGCTGCCGGCTGGCTACTACAAAACCTGCGAAAACTACGGAGCTTATCCAACCCCCAGGGCTTATTTTGGGTAAAACCTTCTTCATCTGGAGATGAGTGGGCGGCTTTACCTCGCCTCTGGGTGTATGGCGTCTGGTGAATGGTGGCGAACCATCAAGAAGGCCTCTGGCCACGGAAACAGCCCATCCATACCTACTCTCCGCAGCACCGATGGTACGGAGCACGACACCAACCGCAGCAAAGCAGAGTGCATGGCCGAACACTTCGCCAACAAATGCAGTCTAGGGGCAGACGACCTATCCGCTCCATTTCCTTACGTCCGACCACGTACTGACCGCAACCTCTGCACCGTCCGGTTTCGCGAAACCACAGTCGAGCGAACTCTCCGCCAGCTCAACCCCACCAAGGCCACTGGTCCAGATGGGATACCTGCCCGCGTCTTGAAAGCTTGCTCTGCAGAATTGGCACGGCCGCTTTCAAAACTATTTACATGCTGTCTTCGCTCCGGTATCCAGCCACAACAGTGGAAGGTTGCAAACGTGGTTCCAGTCCACAAGCGCAAGTCTAAATCGTCGCCATCAAACTATCGACCAGTGTCGTTACTGAGCATCCTCTCCAAGGTCATGGAGACCATAGTCAACAGGGCAATGAGCAACTTCATGGAGACGAATCACGTCCTGTCAGAACGGCAATTTGGATTCCGTCGCGGCCACAGTGCAGCAGACCTGCTGACTGCTCTCCACCACCAGTGGGTGCACACCGCCGGAGATAAAGGAGCTTCTCGAGTGCTGGCCATCGACATTGCTGGAGCATTTGACCGGGTGTCTCACACTGGTGTGTTGCACAAGGCTAGAGTGTATGGCATCTTGGGAGACCTGCATCGGTGGCTCCAAGACTACCTCTGCAACCGCACACTTCAAGTCCTCATCTCCGGCCAGACATCAGCCAGACGCCCAGTTAAGGCTGGGGTGCCACAGGGCAGTATCCTGGGCCCCACCTTATTCTTGGTCTACGTCAACGACCTTGAAGACCACCTCCCAATCGGCTCCAACCTTGCCTCATTCGCCGATGACACAACCCTATACGCCGAAATTGCAACGCTCGCTGCTGTTCCTGACAACGCTAGAGTACTCCAGGCTGCTGTCGACCTAGTATCCAGTTGGGGCTCGGATTGGAAAGTGCAGTTCGAGCCAGCCAAATCTCAGGCCCTTACAATTTCCCACCATCGTCGGGACTGGCCAATACCCCCCATTGTCTTCAATGGAACTCCTGTCGAGGAGCAGCCCTCCATCAAGGTACTCGGCGTCACGTTTGACCATCAGCTAAAATTCAGCCAGCATATCCGAACTGTTGTAGTCCGAGCAACGCAGAGACTTGGAGCCTTGCGCAAGGCATTTCACTTGCTGACTATTCCTGCCCGGCTTCGAGCCTACAAAGCCTTTGTCCGGCCGGTTATGGAGTACTGCCCAATCGTCTGGATGGGGGCAGCTTCTTCCCACTTGAATCGGCTGGACTGGGTGCAGGAGCGAGCCATCAAGGCAATACATCCGCAATGCTGGCTTCCTAGCCTCATAATTCGCCGCACCATCGCTGCCCTCTGCCTCCTGTATAAAGCCCTTTGCGATAATTCTCCCGCTCTTCTCTCGAGAATGGCTCCACCCCCGACACACCAACCCAGGACCACACGCCTCACCCGCCAGGCTGTACGACTGTCCACCGCGCATCCCCATCAGTTACAGAATGTTCTTCCTGCCAATTCCAGGAACAATGTGAGCCGAGCCTTTCCCCACTCCGTCATCCCAATTTGGAACCAGCTGCCTACCTCTATCATTCCCCACCCATTTCACCCAAAGAACATCCAAAAGTTCAAGACAGCAGCTTATCACCATCTCCTCAGAACGAACTGGCACTGGGCCACTCATAGCATACGCGAGTAAGAGGGTACATTGTCCTAGCCTGCTTGGACATACATGTAATCTCTCCTCACGGACAGTCTCCTCTTGAATTTAAAAGTCTAACAGCGTTCACATCAATACTCAACTTATTCTTTTGCTCACTGAGCAATACAATCTTTCCATTTTCTTTCTTCTGTTTTCTTTTTCAATTTAATCCTCCCTACCCAATATCCCTTTGGTGCGTCCATGGAGCTATGAAGCCGAGACCTCTGGTCGGCGGAGCTTAATGGGCCCCACCACCACACTCCATCATTCACCCCAGTGTCTGGAGATATGTGCATTTTGTAGAAAAAAAAAAAAAAAAAAAAAAAAAAAGGGATGAAGGCCATAGTCATGATAGTGAGCCACTACCGGGACATGTCTGGCAAACCCAGCCTCTACACCAGGAAATCTGCAATTATTGGCCAGTACAAAGCTGAGGCACATCTGCTCATACCACCACTGGGAAAAAAACACTCAGCGGCCGAAGATTGTTCCATATCACGCAGCCACTTCTCATACACCGCTTCTTGGGTTACTTGGTAGGCGGACCTAAGGCGGTAGGCCTCTGAAATAGGGATTTGATATTCTGAGGGCTTTCTAGAGCAGAATCTGCTAATTTCACAAGCATTTTCCGGCACAGTTTAGGCATGGCTTGATGGAGACATTGGTAACATAGCCACCCGTTTCAGAAAGCCAGTGATGTCGTGGATTTCATAATGGAGGATTCTGAGATAACCTTCGAGCGGGCAGCAATGTTGAACTGACTCCCGCAGGTACATTCAATGATTGTATAGTTTATGGAGGGCACAGTTTTAGGTGGCCAACGCCAGTAATGCGGAAGATGTAGACCATCCCGAATCTCAGCTGTTGACAAAAAGTGTGTCGCTTCAGTTGTCCTCTTTCCCTGATTATTATTAGAAGGGCTGTAGCTGTGTTTGCTACTTCAAAGTAGTAAAAAACCAAAAAAAAACCGCTAACGGTTCAAGGGGTCAGCAGGTCAGCCAACCAGACTGTTCAGAGCCACAATGCACGTCGTTTCAGCTGCAAGCTCAACCATGTCCATTCCAGGTCTGCCATTGTCTGCGGCACGCTGCTTTTCCGCAGATCTAGTAACTTACAATGTAGTACTAAATGACGAGCTAAAAAGTAATAAAAAAACGTAATTTTACTTACAACAAGAAAAAGGACAAAAAAAGAGCTACAAGTAGGTAACGCTATAATTATCCCCTAACACCGCCTGTTACTTTACAATCAGCTCATGCGATAACATTGCACGACACTGACCAACGGTACTGACGTTCTACACCTAACTGGCAATCAGCTCTAGCACATATTGGATGCGCACTCCAACAACAAATAACAAGTTTTGTTATTTCTATAACTTAGTCTCTTAGAACCTTCCAAGCTGGAAGGCTGTTGGAGTGCGCATCCAATATGTGCTAGAGCTGATTGCCAGTTAGGTGTAGAACGTCAGTACCGTTGGTCAGTGTCGTGCAATGTTATCGCATGAGCTGATTGTAAAGTAACAGGTGGTGTTAGGGGATAGTTATAGCGTAACTTGTAGCTCTTTGGTCCTTTTTTTCTTCTTATAAATTAATCCTTGGCTCTTCACCCGAGTCTAATTATTTGCTTACAATACTGAATTACAGATACAGTACAGTGTAGCTACAGAATGGTGGGGGTACGGATAGCATCAGTGTGACCAGTTGCCTGACCTACATATAACTCAACACCGTAACTACTCCTTCGCCACCTGTGCAGCACAACATAGCGTAAATGTCCAAGCGGAAGTGCCTGCTGGTCTTGTGCTGGGCGATTTTGTGTTGCACTTGCCGAGGGTGTGATGCCCCGTAGGCCCAAGGGCTAACCCAGCTGAACCGGGGCGTTAGACCCGACCGGCCACGCACTAACTATTCAAGTTAGAACGAGGTTTAATAGTATCCCCCTAGCATAGAAGCTGACCAAGCAGTTTATTTTCAAGCTATGTCAGGATAGTCTTTGGCAATTGAGTTTCAATGTAAGACCTAGAACGCATTATACTGGTGTACCCTCCTTATACACTGTTGTGAATTCCAGCAGAAATCCAAGAGAGCTCGATACCGGGAAGGTAGAGCCGTGACACACTAGTCAGAACAACAGATGGCTTGATCAGTCACAACTTAAAAGTTTCATGGCATCTCAGGCACTCATCACGTGATATGAACATCAAGAAAAAGGGTGTACCCTCCTTATACATGTATTGGGTAGTTTTGTGTGCAGAGAGAATTGGTACAGTATGGTATGATAGCACCTTTTCTTCTTGTAACTCAACGGCGCTGAGCATGAGTACTACTAAAAGGAGAGTTGAAGCAAAAGAAATGCTTGGCTCTTGTTGTGGTGGGCTTATGAATCATAGCTTGTGGAGCTACATGTATTTTAGGGGCTTGGAGACTCAGAGTCAGAGCCCCTTTTCGATACCTGTAAAGCCGGCTCGATCTTGGGTTTTTCAATCGGCCTCTTATACGGGCAACCATAATGTTCGACAGAGTGAGAATCAGTGTGAAAGTAGGAAAGAGATTACGGTTTTTATAGGGTCATCTGGTCACGTCATATTTCCATGCGGGCGATGCTCCGAACCGTGACGACACTCATCCGGAGTCATCCTGCATCACGTGCCAAGCTCGAGCTGTTCTGACTTCTCTTCTGTCCGGGTGAAGATCACACTGGACATCGTATACCAGGTAGAGAGAGAGATTTGTGTTTTGCAAGATATGCTCGGAGTCTCCACTGTCCACCTCACCGCTTTGGTATCTATTTTTCACGTCCTCCTCCGGCACCAGCATACTAGTAGCACTCGTTCGGAAGAAATAGCTGCCAATACGACTCCGTAAGGCAGAGCGAAGCGAGCGCATTGCGGGTAGTCCTGAAGGACCCTTCAGGTCCTTGATCCGGCGTAGAACAGGCGTGCGATATCAATCAGATCTCAGTCAGCGTGCTTTGCAAGTGCGTGTGAGGCCGAGGCAATGGAGAGGCAAGTGCGATATGCAGTAGCCCTGGTACTGCTAACGCAAACGGTGTTGTGCTTCGCCCACGCGGGCGGTCGCGAACACTTTGAATGGAGCGCCAAAAAGGGTGAGTCGAAAAAAAGTCAATCAGAGAGAAAGGGGGTCGAACTAGATTTCTCTCCTAGTATGGTTGAATACATGTCAAGCAAAAACGATACACGGATAGGATCCATGATTTTTGGCCCAGGCATTGTAGAGAAAGATTTCTCCCTAGATGACTGATGTAAAAGTGGATATCCAGACATAGCAACACTGTGCAGCAACATTGATCATGCCCAGGGTGCTGAGCAGCAACCTTGACGACTTGAACCGGTTGTGAATGTGTATGATTATGCAGTGTCCTCTGCCTTCCTACATGCCACTGACACCATTGCTATGTCTTTCCCCTATGTAATGTGCATGATGCAGGAGAAGAAGCTGAAAGCGGACGCCGGCGGGCACCGTTCTCCTTCACACTGCCTGAGCTGGGCAGCTTGCCGGACCACCCACGGCTGCGTGTTCGCGACGAGAAGGAGCTGATCTCCATCCTGAACTACACGGGCAATGACCCTGTGGCCGCCAAACTACTGGACGATATCTACAGCTATGGCGACGAGATTCTGAACACCAAGCCAGCCCTGCGTCCCGCTCCGGGCCCGAGCGGCGTGCTGTCAACCGTCAGAACCGTCCTGGATCGGGTGTACATCATGGCGCTGCTGTTCCGCCTGACCAACAACTGCAACTCGACGTGGTACTACCGCGGCTGGGCCGAGCTGGAGACAGTAGCCAAGTGGAGCGACTGGAACCCGCAGCACTTCCTGGACGTCGGCGAGATGACGCACGCGGTCGCCATCGGCTACGATTGGTTCTACCAAGGTTTGAACTCGAGTCAGCGCATGTTGCTGGAAGACGCCATCGTGGAAAAGGGATTCAAGCCGGCCATGGCGGCGTTCAAGCAGCACGAGTTCTGGACGTACTACGACTCAAACTGGAACAACGTGTGCAACGGAGGCCTGATTGTTGGTGCACTGGCGTTGCTGGACAATGAGCGACACTCTGGAATCGCCAAGGAGATGCTTAACATGTCCATGCACGCATTGCCCAACAGCATGGCGTCGTATGCTCCACTGGGCGCCTGGCCAGAGGTGAGCTGTGATCCAGTGCCTATGGTGAAGTGTAACAGTGGCGTAGGAGATACTCTAAACAAACTAGCCAGCACCTCCATGGCCTTCCTGGACTACAGTGTATTTTGGATAAAGTGTACCGTGTTTTCCGGAGTATAGGCCGCACCCCAAGTTTTTTGCCACGAAGTACAGATGTCTACCCTGTGTATGACCGTTAACTTGATTATTGGAGTATAAACTGAACCCCCCTATTTTGGTTGAATTTTGAGTGTTCAAAATGCGGCGTTAACTCCGGAAAATACGGCAATACATACTGATGATGTTGATCGATTGATACCATACAGGATCGTTATCCTTCTGGACGTGTTCATGATCTGTATCTCAAGTTTCCAAGTCCGTGGCATTACGGGGTGTGTTACTCTCACCCCGTGTGCTCCAGGAGAGGGTGCTGCACTCAGATTCTGTGTGCTAAGGTGCTGCTCAATGAAATCCAATCGTGTATCAAGCTTGAACCTTGTACCAGCTCTCATCGCAGTGTGTGCAGGTCTAGAACTGCACAGTGCCCGGCGTGGCATTCACTCGCTGGATCGGATTTCATTGAGCAGCACTGTAGATGCACTGAGAGTATGCATACTTGCAATTCAGCCCTTACCACTGCAATTGTGGCTGTGCATGTATACATGTTCGTGTGGGTGTGGGTGTGTACATGTGTTTTGCTTACGCATTACTTCAGGGTCCTGGCTACTGGGCATATGCGACGGACTACACGCGCTACGCCATATCCAGCCTTCAAACGGCTCTCGGCACGGACATGGGCCTTGGCGAGTTCACTGGCTTTGCGACAACTGCCGACTTTAACATCCAACTTCAGGGAACGTCGCTGATCAACTATAATTGGGCCGATGACAGAGTTGGCGAGCATCCCAGCGACACAGCTGTGTCATTCTATCTGGCTACGCACTATAACCGACCCGAAGCAGCCTATCTGCAGCGAGAAAAGCTGAAGACCCGCGACACGATCTCCGTCAACGATCTCATCGACTACACGGACAAAGGCAGTGAAGCTGACTTGGAGAAGCTACCACTTGTCATGCTGTACTGGAAGAGAAACCTGTTGGTCGCCCGCGGCAGCTGGACCAACCGCACTGCGGCGTTTCTGGGCCTGAAAGGCGGCAACGTATCCTACCATCACAGTCACATGGACCTGGGATCGTTCGTATTGGAGATGGGCGGCGTGCGCTGGGCCATGGAGCTGGGCAGCGATAACTACGGCTTGCCGGAGTACTTCGGCGGCAAGCGCTTCACCTACTACCGCCTGCGCAACGTCGGCCACAACACGCTGACGTTTGATGATGACAACCAGGGTAGGGAGTCTGCAGCCGAGATCATTGCTTACAGCAGCGATCACAACCAGGGTACGGCGACAGTGGACTTAACCACGGGCTACGCACCAAGCAACCTGACGTCAGTGAAGAGGACGTTCAAGTGGGCGCTTAACAACAACGCTGTGACCATCGAGGATGCCATAACCTACGGCAAGAGCCACGCCAAGACCGTCACGTGGGCGATGCACACGCGTGCCCGTGCTATGGTCCACGGGACAAGCGCAGATCTGACCGACGACCACAGGGAGCTGCACGTCGCCTTCGACAGCGGCGACAAGTGCCCGCATGCCGAAATGGCCGTTTCCCCTGTCGACCTGAAGCCACCACAGGACTCCAGCACGGGCATATTCAAGCTAACAATAACAGCCCCGGCAAGTACGTGTAGCAGCATTGTCGTCCACATATCACTGACCAAGTAAACAATATGATGGGTGATTGAGTAGGGCTGACACTTGACCATGGACTGATAGCCTTCATAATATGGTTGTAGTGCTGAGTTCAAGATAATTTTCAAATCCAAGCAATTGAGAGGTTTGATAAAATATTTTCATTTGAAGTTTTTGCTTCGAAATAGAAATCAACGACTACATGTAATGCACAGCGCAATATTTCAATATCTTCCCCTTGAAGTAGACGAATCTAGTAATAAGAAGTAAGATATCTTTTTCTCTTGCTTGCTGGATAGATATGGCTGTAACAACAGCCAAACAATGGGTCTCAATCAAACACATACACATGAAAGTGGTGCCATAAAGACTTCAAGTAATCAATGTCAACACAAACTATTTGTGGCATGCACTTCGAAGGATCATGGCCACTGCGACCGATAACCCAACTTAAAACTGAGCACCAATGGGGGCGTTAAATTACCTTGTTAACTGAATCTAGTGCCCATTTATAATGCTGTGCAGCTGGCAGATAACGTAGGACTATGTAATGAAGCACATCTGGTGTCAATTCTGGACAGGCGGTTGATCTCCATGGCAGGGATCAGAGCAGTTGAAACAGTCACCCGTCATGATAGGACTATGCATGTGCATAGTGGAGTCATAGTGGTGTTGTACAATATCCCGAGAGGAAGTGGAGGTCAACATTTTGCCATCGGGCCATGCTTGGTACATCAACCCGATGAATAGTATCCTTGGCCGACGTTGCGGAAGCGGAACTGGCTTACGTCCATCTGTCAGGTATTCAGCTACCGTTGGCTGCTTGTCGGTTGTTGTCGAAGATCATGATGTTGGGTAGGCCCCGTCGCCGCTGTCGCCACAGCCCTGCTTTCTTTGTGGCAAGGCTGAGCCTGTCCATCCACTGGTCTCGACTGTGTGGACCAGGTGCCTGGCGAAAAGAAAAGAAAAGAGCAGGAAAGAATTCACAAGACAGCAACATGAGTAAAATATACTACAACAGCCAAGTACATGTACAGTCAAACTTGTGAATAACAACCTCGGGTACATGTACATCGGGTATAACAACCTCGGGTATAACAACCTCGGGTATAACAACCTCGGGTATAACAACAGCGAATAACAACACAATCTATAGACCTGTATGTATGTATAACTCATAATCACAAGGTGATCGTAGAGGCATTAATCAGCGAGAGAATTGTGAATGATGTCTCTGAATCCAACTCTATCGTGTGCTGCATGAGAGAGAGCATGCAAGGGAAGACCCGTCCAACTTTTAATGTTGGAACCTAATGATCATTTCACTGCATACTTTCAGCGGCTCAAGAGTAACGACAACTCGTGAGTAACGACGCTTTTCTCATGCATGATCTAGGGTGGTTACCCACAAGGTCGACTGAACTTACAAAAACAATAGACAGTGTGTGGCTAGAAAATGGCTTGCCGTGCAATAGCCATGGATGCCATGACATGAACACACCTTTCACAAACGTGAAAGAGGGAGGCATGGGATTTATTGACTACATGCTGATCAATACCCAAGGTGACTCTGAGCAAATATACAGACAAGCTATGGCATGGGGCACATGATGTCCGTTGCAGACTGCTTAACATGTACCCTGCGTGAATCTTACCTTCAATATAACAGATGAATGGTCAGTCATTGTTGTGACGTCAAAGCAAGATCCACTGCCTTCGAAAGCTGCACAACAACACGACAAAGGACACAAAGTCGTGTTTAAAACCTGTATGGCCTGTGAGCAGCTTCGCCTTTTGCCATATTCCCGCTAGATAATTTCCAAAATGAAGCAGCAGAGTGCCACACTTTGAAAAGCCACAGTAGGCTATGCATACTGTAGAACGGGTAATTTTAGCGACTATTAATTTTAGCGTTTTCCCATTGTCAACCAGTTAGCGACGTTTTATTTTAGCGATTTGCAGCGATTTTACTCACGGATCACCAGTGCACTACTAATGTCTCAACGGATTAGCGACTTAAAACTTTTTTAAATTCGCTAGGGTTTTTACGTCGCTAAAATTACCCGTTCTACAGTATGCGTAATACTCCTTCCCAATATGGCTGGATGTACACCCAAACACCAAAGATTCACAGAAGCCGTACATGGTCAGTTCATAGTCATGTAAGGTTTGACAACCTTCTAAAGTAAATACCTTACCTGTAGCTGGAGCGGCTACTATGCACCTATCCAGAGAAACTGGTTCCTGAAGCATAGAAGAAAGGGTGAAAGAAGATCTAATGTTAGTAATAGACCTACAACGATCAGTGATCGTCTGGAGAAAAAATGAGGATTTTCATGTGAAAGTTTCTTCACAGTGAAATGCCTTGGTAATTATTTTATTTATTTTTATTTATTTTATTATTACACCTTCCAGTGGCTAAAGATGAATGAGTGCCAATAATGTTCATTTTCTTCAGACTGCTTCCTTTTAAACTGATAAGTGTGCAATGGACTTCTTCGCATAGTGCTTGGCTGCTCATGCTAGAAGGATAGACAACAAACATGGCATCCAGTACGTTGATCAGCATCTGCATACAGTCATCTTGTGTTGCTTTCATACCCGGTCTCTTACCTTCTGACAGATCATGTCACCAGTCTTGTTGACGCCGATGAGCACCAAGTGGGGCTTGGAGCTGCCGCTCTTGTCGCACAACGAGAAACGTCCCACAAACTGCCGGTTCTCTTGCTGCAATGACAAGGAGAACGCGGAAACGTGGTATGACCGAATGAAGGGACCACTGTCCAGGCCACTTTCATTGCACACTACCATCAACAATGCATTTTACAAACCACTCTTTTTTGGCAGAGGTCCTTAATCCGTGCGGGCGGGGGCGTTCCTGCAGATGCTGGAAACGCTGTCTACTACTGGCTGGGTCTCACACAAACCATGGAATCGAAAAATATATTTCGGTGGATAAAACTAATTGTGCACTCATAACCATGTATAAAACAATTATTAAAAATGAAAAATTCCAGAACGTTAGTTGTTGTCTCCTTGTCTGTTATTTAAATATTTTGGTGGAGACAAGAACAAGGACGATGAAGTGAGAGCTTACGTCGTGGGGAATAGGGTCCTTGAGCTGAACAAGCACAGCGTGTGTGACAATGGACTTCATTGAGCTCTTCGGAGCCGACGCAGAATTTCGGCGCGAGCTCCGCTGCTGGGATTGGACCTAGGATGAAGCGAAACAAGAAATGAACATGTTGCACATTTTGTTATGGTACAGTACTGACTGCAGGGCGCCAAAGAACAGGGTTGTTGTTGTAGAAGTTTAACATCGCACCACAAACAGCGGTTTTGCCTCCTTTTCAATGTGGAATCCAGACGGAATGAGAGGGGGGGGGGGGCAAAAATACGGAGAGAGGAAGGGTAGAAAATAAATACGTGAGTCAACCTCAGGGCTACACTAAAGCAAAAAACGGAACGGGAATACTATATACAAAATAGCATCATACAATATTGCGAAACACGATTCCTATTCTTCAGTCCGCTATACCAAAGACACACACTGGCAGTAGGGGTCAGGGTTCTAGCCTAGACTGTTCTTATTTTTCGCGAACACGGCCGTTTCCTTCTTACTCGATGGTACAGTCATACATTTATATGACATACATGTACAATGTACATGTCAATTTTGTACATGTCAAGGAGAAAGACAAGTGGGAAGGAGACAGTGAGGAGAATGGCAACTCAGCGGCAATCACTCCTCACTGGTCTGGGATGGCATAAATGGGCAAGATAGCTACAACTGACCTCCAGGGGACCATGGTAAATCAACTCTGCCTGATCCCGAGCCCAGCCAACTTTGGATAGGGCAAACTGCAGGCGAAGAACACCAGAAAACAGCAGAAGTAGGAAAGATGCTGATATGCAACACACAGAAGGGACACGTGATGGCAAACAGAGGTAAATTATTCTGCGATGAAAATGCATATTGACTCGGATGGAGAGCCAAGGACAGATTTACACAAAAGAAAAGGAACAAGGAACTACAGGTTACGCTATAATGTCCACTAATGTCAGTACCGTCGGTCAGTGTCGTGCAATGTTATCGCATGAGCTGATTGTTTAGTAACTGGTGGTGTTATTGGACAATAGCGTACCTTGTACTTCAAATAGTTCCTGTTCCTTTTTTTCTATAAAATGCATATTACTACAAATTTATTAGTGAACTTTGCAAAGAAATTCTCATAGCACAACGAAGTTATTTGCGACGTACCTCCAATAGCTCATCAGCCGTCTTCTTAGACAGAATCTCTTTTGCCGCAGAGGGTTTTGTCTGAACGGAGAGCTTGTTGCCCTGACCTGGAATGACAGATTCCTGCAAAGGCACACATCCACACACATTACCGATTGAATCAACTAATCTTTTGCCGTCCATATCCAGCTAGACTGATGACAACACACATCATGAAGTATAAAGAGTATAAGATCCCTTTCCAAAGGGCTAGCAAACACTCATAATGAGTATGTCCCAAACAGCAGCATTCTAAAGCAGGTGGGCAGGTTTCGACACATCACGGTCACAGCAGATCAAAAAATCCATAGATGGAGTCTTTATCCGTTTTCCTTTCTTAGAAACAAGAATCGGGGGCAGAGCAGAGCTCTAGATTTCGATTCTGTGACTGATTGCATAATAGCAACAGTTATCTGCACTGTCCTCGCTGCTTCACACTTACGCTGTTAATCTTGTCGAGCATGACTTCCAGGTGCTTCATGCAGTCACTGAGAGATGCATGGTCGGGATGGCGCTGTGGCGTGTGACTCAGGATCTTGGCCAGCAGGAGAGGGTAGCGCGTAACCCGCTGGAGCGGAGCGATGAGAAACGCCGGAAGGGGCATGTTTGAGCAGCGCTGATCGTCGTTCTGGCACACCTGCAAGAAGAGCTTGAACAAGTTGGATTTCTTGATGGCAAGGTTCAGGGCTCGAGCACTGTTTGCCTGAAAAAAGAAAAAGCAAAAAGAAATACTCAAGTAAAAGAAAAGCATCAGAACAAAGCGTTTGATGAATACAAGAAAACGAGCAGTCAATGACTTGCACCACTTGGTTCACCACTTGATTGACCTTATTTTTTACATTTGCTCCAAAATGATCCTTACCCAGAACATTCAAAACTTTGAGGGAGTTGAAACGGCAAAAAGGCCTGAAGAACACCGTACTACTACCACCAGGACTCGACCCACACTAAAGAGAACATTTTTAGATTCCCTACTGGTAATACTTCGCCAATACTAGTAGTCCTTGGCAACATGACAATGCTTGAAAGTTTTCATAAAGTAGGTTCATTTCTCTGCGAGCAAGAGATTATTTTGTGTTCTTCTAGGAGGATGCGCTAACTGACAATGCTGGCTGAGATCTTAATATGTTGGTTGGAAAGTCGTTCCGTATGTGTGGCGTGCAGTTCCATTCAAAATCCAGCGACAGGAAGAGGGATGCTTGGCGTTACCTGGCTGACGCAGTACACTTCAAATGCCTTCATGCTGGCCATGTGCTCCATGAACACCTTGCCGATGGTGGCCCGGTGGCCCGCGTCCTCCCAGCTGGACCGGCGCGTCACCTCCGCCACCTGGTCTTCCAGCGACTGGCAAAGCTGCTTGTTGAGATCAATCAGCTCCTGCAGCAATGGGAGCAAGACACACAAGCGACAGATGACATTACTAGAAAGGAACGTGGCGCTGAGATCACCATGCTTACCATCAAGACTAAAGAGTAGTGACTCAGAAGCTGATCTGTCATGCTGAAAACTGAAATCCGACCGCTGGGGTGGTGCGCTCACATTCCATAGACCCGGCACACTGCGAAATAAAAAAAACCGCTGGAATCGGTGTAGCACTCGCGCATGAAAGTCAGCGGTCGGATCTCATTTGCCACCATTGTACATAAAATAAGCTACACATCAGGGTTGTCACCCTGTTCACACAGTTCACAATACCCCACAAGGGCAGAGCTTCCTTGCCAATTTGATGGACGAAGGCTTTATTGCTGCAACTTGAGTTTCACGCTTGCACAATCATCAGGCAAAATCATTCCAAATGGAAAACAGCTACACTGTGAGCTTCAAGTTCATGATAATAAATATTCGGATGCACTTACTTCCAGGTTTACGAATATCTTCTCGCAATGCTCAGTGGGAACAAGGCCGTTCAGCATGGGCTCCATGAAGACCTAAAGCATAGCAAAAAATGCAAACAGACACAACAGAGTGTCAATCTTCTCCGCATTGCACCAGTGCTGGATGTGCCCAGTATAACAGTTTTTGAAACACACTGTCACAGGGGAGGATCCAGGAGGGGCTCCAGGGGTTCCGTGGAACCCACTAAATTTCGTAAATGTACTACTGGCAACCATATGCGTGTCCATGTACACGTATCAGCTATTTAGTTTTGACTATACTGGAAGCCCCTGTAGAGATCACCGGATCCGCCGCTGCGTCACAACAGTCATGTACACTTCACCTCAAGACCTGTGACTCTGAGTTTGCAAGTAGCCATAAAACTGGGAGCATGAACAGCTTGCACTGATTTTTCATACTTAAAAAAGGGGTTGTCTTGTGCATTACACAGCATGTACGAGGGAAAAACGATCTGTCGCTACTCTGAGCTTCACGGTTTCACGCTCATCACACACATGATACAGCACTCAACACAAACTATCATAATGATGATGTCACAATGATGTCATTTGTGTAACCCATACAATGCTACTACTAATACCAACCCTGAATCTGGCCAGGTTCTGCAATCACTTCGAGGAGGCACTCACAGTACTATTACACCAGCTAAGCAGGAGTCCATGTTTAAATCTGAGACCTTAGCCAACAGTAGTGTGCAAGCCAACATCGATGTACAAGTATGCTCACCTCCTTTATGACGTTGAGATTCTGCCCGTATTTCTCCTCGGTCGCCAGGACCTCGGATATGGTGCGAGTACGCTTCCTGCGATGCGCCTGGCACTGGCTGCACACGGCGGCATTCATGTCCAGCTGCCGGAACTCCATCTTCTTCCAGTACCGGCAGTCGTCGCAAAGTCGTTCAGTAGTGGTCACTTCCTCCGATAGAGACTGTCGCGTAGGGGAAAATGGGGCACACACACGCAGGGAATTCAGCATTACTCCCCATATCCGGGCAGGTTGGGACCGAGCACTGCCCGTAACTACATATTTTTTTATAGGGGGTTTCCCACAACTCAGAACTAACGTACTTACTGCATGCAAGTTAAGATTTTATGCCAATCAATATGACTGTTTTGGGGCCATTTTTGTTGAAACTCAAAAAGCCGCTTTTAAGAACCTAGATGGGTCGGAAAGGTGCCTGATAGACGGAGCTGCCGGGATTAGAGACGTCCGGATTAGGGGAGTTTAACTGTATAGTATGTTCCCACCTTCCAACCCGGCAAATATTTAGATTTTGATAAAAACCTTCCAACCCGGCAAATATTTAGATTTTGATAAAAACCTTCCAACCCGGCAAATATTTAGATTTTGATAAAAACCTTCCAACCCGGCAAATATTTAGATTTTGATTAAAACCTTCCAACCCGGCAAATATTTAGATTTTGATAAAAACCTTCCAACCCGGCAAATATTTAGATTTTGATAAAAACCTTCCAACCCGGCAAATATTTAGATTTTGATAAAAACCTTCCAACCCGGCAAATATTTAGATTTTGATAAAAACCTTCCAACCCGGCAAATATTTAGATTTTGATAAAAACGATTCAAAGCCTCTCAATTATTTTGTATTACTTGAATTATGCTGGTGTTTGGTCATGATCAAAATACGATATCTCGAGCACAGCCTCACTCTGTGGTCAAATCGACTACAGTACAATATTCAAATACCAAGGCTATGATTAGCATACTGAGAAGGTGGCTTGCTCCACGTAGTGCAACGTGTGCAAACGGTTCCACAATTTTTATTAGTCGAAACATGGATGCAGTGGATGGGATTTTGGTTTTTTGAACAATTTGTTAGCAGGCCGGGTCTTCTCACCTGCCACCACTTTTGAAGCTTTGTCTGCAGTGGTGCCATTCCTACGGATTCGGCAAACTCAGTCTGACCGGGCCTCATGCAAAGTATTTCAGCCAAGACAATGAACATAGCAGTTGAAAGGACAACACAGCAACAATTGCAATATTGTACAGTATCGTACAGAGACAACAACAAGTACCTCTTTGGACGAATCACTGAGCAGCGATGGAATGGATGGCGACAATTCGGATGGCATTAGCGCGCGCAGGTCCTCTCCACGGGCACTGGTGCGCGGGCCGCGTCGGATGGCGTTGGTTCGAACTAGCTTGCATGGATCTTCATCTTCCGACTTTCTCTGAGCTTGTGACTGTGCACGGCGGACCTTCGGAACTGGTTTCGGGATGACCAGCTGGGTTGCCTCTTCCGTAGCGGCGCCCTCATCACTGCTGCTGAAGTCTACAAGCTCCGATTCGTCCTCGGCGTCGCTATCAGACACGCAGTTTTCAGCTTCACACTGGTTGGCTCCTCTTAAGTAGTCTTCCCATGCACTCAGCAGTTCCCCGGCCTCCTGACCGTCGCAAGTAGATGCAGAAACGGTGCTCACATCGCTAATAGCGGAATACACCGACTCGGGCCTCGGACCCTGGCACCTCGCAGAGAGCCGCCCACCGAGAGTGCCGCACGGCGATATCGGCTCGTACTCGGAGTCAGCGGAGAGGCCTATGAGTGGTGATTGGTTAACATTCCTCCTACCCGATTCTTCCTCCGCCTCTGCTGGCCCGGGGTACGGCTTTATGCTAGGAACATCCTCGTATATAATTGTGTCAGCGTTGCCAGCTTGTGAGGATGCTCGAAGTCGCTCCTGCTCCCAGACGGCCACGACGTGCTCTTCGGCGACTGTATTTTGCACTGCCGAGCGCACTCGCATGCTCATGCTCCCGGATTGCGGTGCTTGTGTACCAGGCTGGGTGCGACGCCAAGTACTCGTGGACATCGAGCGTGCACGAGGCTCGGCTGCAAGAGTGGAGATGGGAAAAGCATTTGTTTGTGCTGCTGCAGACCTGCTGCTTGATTTCTCTGCGCTGGCTAAGCTTCCCAGTACGGCCGCTACTTTGGCCCTGGCCTCAGACATACTCGTCTGGGGTGCTACGATGTGGGGTTGGACCACAGAGTTTATAGTGCTACAGACAGTCTCATCCACATGTGCTTCACTTGCTACATTCGCATTCGGCTGAGGACGGCCGTTATGCTGACCATTATTCGGAGATTGCATGGTGTCTGCGGCGATTGGTGCGGGTGAGTTCACGCGTCTCGCTCTGCTGGCAGTGCGACACAGGCGGCGCTTCAGAGTACCCGTGCCCGCATTGGGCTGAATGAACGACACGTAGCCGTCGGGAGCTGCAGCCGTCGGCTGCCGATCGGCTGCTTGCCTCTTGTTTGGAGGAGCGGCGGGAGCTACCTGTTCCGGCGCCTCCACGATAACGGCACATCCGTAATGGTTAGCCGCGGGTGCTTGGCACACGGATAGCGCGTAGGGTTCGGCGTACTCAAATTCGCCGTCCGCTTCCGTCCTCGGGTAGACCAGCAGCTTGGCGCCCTGTTTCAGCGATGCTACGCGCGGCGCTGGCAGCGGTGGCGGAGGGCTGCACGGCGGTGGAGGGATGTCCGTCTTTCTCAGTCGCGGCTGCGCCACGGGTGCGGCGCCGCCGGTCTCGTGCGTCGCGCTCTGCATATCCGCGACGGACCGACGGTCGGTCGCGTGTCGAGGCATTGGCAAAATGATGGACTGCGGCTTCGGAGCAATCGGCGGACGCATGCCAACTTGCATGACTGTCCGTGTTGATGTCAGGCCCTGGAGACTCTGGAAAATGAGTACACCACAATGCACCAGACATTCAGGGCAATACAGCCTTCATTGTCATTGCAGTCAAGGAGAATACCATTGCCGAGAGGGGAAGACCCCCTTTGTCCAGAAAACCATGATAATAATTATAATAATCCCGTGATATTATCGGGAGCTGTCTGTAGTATTACTTCTTTTTTTAGCTATTTACAGACAGCTGGACACTGACAATATCAACTACACCGCATAGGTGTAGGTATCAGCGATGTAAGGTCCAAGTTTGTGTGGGTTTGATACTCGGTGGATTCTGGAGCTTTGTCACAGTTCAAGATCTCACTGATTCTGTGATAGGGAACTGGGCAGACAACATGTGCCCTGAAGTTTGGCTTCGAGTCTAAAGAAACTGACTCAGTGCGAAGCATCTAGATCAGTGCTGCTGAACTCAGTGTCCTCTTTCCTGCTAGCAAGTATAGAGTATCAGGTGTCACTTTCACGGATACATAGTCATGCACATGTCCTTGTCCACCACATAAGTCATTCATTGTTCTGACGTGCACCATAGTACTTCACTCTTCTGCACAGCTCTCGCGAACCCGTTCAAACAAGGACAGGTCGGCGGTTTATGTAACGACTGACGCACCGGTTCAATATCATTTCAATACCATATTAGTACTGGTTTCAAACACCTTCGCTGACTATTACCAAAGGCAGCGCATGGTACTGTAACTGCCGCAAACACTTCTTTGCTAAGGAACAATACTGCTGCGCTTCCAAACTCACATTTGTCACCAATATTAACCAGGACTTTCAAACGAAATGGCTGGGAAGAAACCAGTGAACCCTTTAGGCCTCGTCCCTGTGTCGCATAAAATGTTTCATCTTACAATCGACAACAGTCTAAACCTAGTACACAATCCATCGACTGGTGGCTGTGGAAAGTTCCAGCCTTCGTATCGGATTACCGGTATGAATCTACGATGCCAGTACATTCGGGATAATTTTGGAAGTATTTTGGAAGTGATCCTTTCTCGAAAAACAGAATACACAGCCATAGACCTCACCGCAATTCAATGACCGCGGTCTTCCTTTCATGCTTACCGAATGTATCCGCTAGCCGTAGTCTTGGCAAGCAGCATCCAACAGCAACAGGAAGAGGTCTGCCCGCAATGCCTTTGCTTGTCGGCAAATCAAATCACGACATTGGCAAATCCTTTTGCTGCATGTAACGTTTCCACGCTTCTTCTCTATGTGTAGATAATTACAGCAGTGCAAGGTTCCAGGAGTGACAAAGTATTTTCTCCTGGTTATCTGCGCTATGCGTAGCAAGTTGTTAGCAACTCCAAGGAACAATGTTATCAGTCGGAGACTTTCCCTTTCGCCTCTATTCGAACATCTTCGCCCGTCACCCAGGCCAGAGTTCACACTAGTACTAGTAGATCTACAAGAGAAGTCTCACGTGCTGTCGGAGAGATCCGTCTGTAGTGTACAGGGCAAGGCATACACGCAGAGCGCGGAAATGTTCGATTCACCGCCGAGTGACAGGCGCGCCGTATCTCGTTGCCTCTGCTTCCCCAGCCGTTCGATGTGCACAAGGGCCAAAACATTATTATCATTGTACCCACAGCTCTCTCTGCTGCAACGACCGGTGTTTCGCCGGTTGCTACGTTCGGTGCCTGAGATCGGTGCATGCGATACCCTGGCCTATAGGTATACTGACCTTGGCTGGGCTGAAACGATTCCCATGTTGATCATGGCGTGTTGCATGCACCAGCGAACCGGTAACCGAGTCGTGTCGCACAAGCTACAAGGTCTGGCACGATGCAGGCGAGGCGTTTTCTCGCATCTGTTGGGATACAGTGATGGCCGAGAGCGCTCTGACGTGGTAGAAACGAAAGCAAATGTGGTTCCCATATTCCCTGCATCGCGACTGCAGCCTCGCCTTTCTGGCTCTGACGCAGTGCACAGAGGTTTTCGTAGCGCAATCGTGTTCCACAGTGAGCCACAGTGGAAAGAGACAATGTACTACACGAAACTGTCCTGCCCATACTCGAATAATTGTTCCTTGCTGGTGCTGGCGAGCGGCGAGAAGTAGCCGCGAGACTTGGGCATTTCACATGGAAACAAGGCAACAGGAGTTGCGCGCGGGCTGAAACTGAGCGCAGGCCAGGACAACACAGTCATTTCTCGTTGGCTTCCGCTTCGTGTCGAGCCAATTATGTCAATCGTGGCCCGTACCACGAAACGAGCGAACATGCCTGAAAATGGTTGGCGAGTTGAATGTATCGGAAGTTCGCAGGATGCACTGGATGAAATCTTGCGGAGCAAACGAAACAAGCACAACCTTCTCAAGTCCTATGGAGACGGGAGCCGGAGAACTCTTACAGCCTAGGCCAAACTCCTGAGCTGAAACCTTGAAGGAAGTAGCGCGCGTAGCGGGAGTTCAGCCTCAGTTCAAAGACAAAGGTCGGTACGCGTGCACCGCTGTACCGGCATCGCGGGACTCTATCACTATGTCGAAGGTCGCTTTTCCGTGGCCGTGGATTATTTCACGGTTCACGTGAGACTGGGCTGGAGGCAGTGGAGCAGTCGAGGCCGAGTTTTCCGCACCCGTATGAACGCCCTCACCCTCCACTATACCGGTAGATCTACTACTAGCTCTAGCTCTAGGGCCCGAACTAACTTTGCCGAAAATGCTTTTGGGAAATTCTCGTAAACCTTGCCGAAAATGCTCCCTAACCTTGCCGAAAATGCTCGGAAAATGCTCACTTTTTTTGTAATCCTCAGCACACGCCGTCAAAAGACTCAAAACCAGAGAGTCAGAAAATACCGGTATTTTACGACTCCGTGGTATTTTCAATTCATAAACTACTCAACGAGAAGCTAACCCACGGAATGCGGAAGTGACGTTCTTGTTTGGGAAGTTTTTCTTCTCTCAATTTTGATACACAACGGCCAGGTGCTCCGTTTCCCCCAAAATGCTGCATCACGAGCCCAAAGTGATGGGTTCGCGGATTGTACCGAAAATGCTCAAAAAAATGTCGGCATATTACACGGGGCCTATCTAGCTCTATGACTATGGATGAAGGTGCAGACAGTGGACCGTCCATGGATAAAAAAGAAAAGAAATGAAAAATAAACCCAGCCGGAACCTATCACTTATCAGATTGGGGTTAGAGAACAACATTATCAGTGATTATGGAGGAAGTCTGGATTTGCACTCACTCTGTCACCTGGAAATGTCATGTAAATGTAGACAGATATGCTACTCACAGTCACATGCACCTAACTTCATAAGTCATTTCTTCCCAACTCATGCTGCAGTTAGCATAGGAGTCTACAGCCATTATCCGAATGAATCACGAATTTTAGGCACCGGCGGATTATGCCGGCATAATTATTGGCATAATTTGGTGGTTGGAAATTTGGAGCATAATTTGGCATCCTTTCAGAGGTAGGAGGATAACTGCATGATTGCATCACAGTTGTAGTATGTAGGCTACACAATTGTGTACAATGCACCTGATCAGTGCTGGTGGTCTGCATGGCAAAGGGTTCGGAGGTCATGCAGATAGTGTTTTCAGTGAAAAGCAGGGTAGAAATCATGGAAATACATTTTGTGTGCTCGAACTCGTCTTCTCAAAGTTCTTTCTCACCCTGATACAGTACATGTAGCAGAAGATGCGAGTGAATCAGCCTTTATCAGGTGTCCCGGGGCGAACGAGATAGTGATGGGTAGTCCGCAAAACTCCGCGTACATGTACACTATGCTTGTTACGAAGTCATGACGTCTGGATCTTAGCAGCTATGACTGTGCAGGCTATGGGTATTGCTCTAATAATTCAACAAATTGAGGTATAGTTGATGTTCGGTAATGATGGAAGGAGACAGTACCGGTAATGTTTTCTCTTTTCCATGTTGATCTCTAGTATGCATGGAGCCATGGACACCTTGGTATGGGGATACTCATGTATTTTGTTGTACTTATGGCCACTTGCAAGTACGAAAAAGGCACAATTTTCCGAACTTTGAGGCTCCATAAGCACAACAAAGTGAATATGTATCCCCGCGTGCCAGAGCATAATATGAGGATTTTGCGAGCATAATGCGAGAATCCATGAAAGCATAATTCCATGATTTCGCAGGCATAATGCGCCGGTGCCTAATCACGATAATATTATGCTGGATTGGATTGGAGCGCTGAGCGTCCCCACCACTGCCACGCATAATGCGTAACGTTATTATCTCGAGATCCTCGAGATCCAGCTGCTTATCACGTCTTGGACGAAGGATCAAGAAGACGAGTTTTATCCCTTGTATCTTTGGTTTTCTTCCTTCTGTCCATGTCGTATTGTTTGAATAAACCCGTTTTGAGTAGTATCAAGAAGACAATTTTTTAAATTGTTCAGTGTAACCTGGCTGGAAATGAAAGTCAGAGACTCAGGGTACCGAACTTCATGGTGTTCTAGAGTTCTCCGCAACGCCACCTGAGTCCTGACATTGCATCAGTGGGTGTGTATGCAGCTCACTCAGCAGGACTGGTTCTTGGCAGCATATTGCTGCACTGCTAGCACGACCAATTCCAGCTCCGAACCCTTTTTCCGGTGTTCTGCCTCGTCCTACCCATCCACTCGCACAACAAGTGATCCACGCTGTACAGCAGGAAACTGTGCGTTTCTGGCGGATAATCTCTCTTTCAGGATTATCCGTCCCTGAGAGTGAGAACTAGTAACGACCCTACCTGTACTCACTACTGACACTAGTCAGCATATTGCATGTCGCCATGGTAACTATAGTGATCACGTAGACTACACTCACTGTGAGTGTGACTCAGGTACAGGCTCAGTGCTGCCCAATGAAATACGATCAGGCGATGCATGCCACGCTAGGCGCTGTACATGTGCATGATTGTGCTGCCCTACACTACAGCCGTAAAGGCTAAACGAGGACTGGGTGGAGAACTGCTGAGGCGCGCAACCTTGACTCGAGCTATCGGATTTCAATGAGTAGCACTGTACATACATGTATATCAGTAGCTGTAGTAGAATAATTATTTATTCCCGTAGCTATGCAGAAGACGTTACTTCAGTGACGTCTGGCGCTAGCCAGGGTCCACACAGCATATTTTGGTATTTTTGTGTGTGTTTGTTTGTTTGTTTGTGTCACGCCTGGCGCTATCCCGTATCTGTCCCGTATCTGTGACTACAAAGGCTCTACAGGATTGTACATAACAGCTGTCCACAATATTTGCGGGCTCCTGTATCTGTCCCGTACCGTACCAATATTCGTCGTATTATGCATACGACTCCCTGATGTAGAGGGGGATTTGGAAAGAAATAGGGAGACGAGGAGGAAATTAAATTAGAATAGACGCCGATTAGGTGATAGGATGCGTCAGCATAAACATACTTTGGAAGAGAGATCCCGTCGTCTCCAAAATAAGCGTGAACGAGCGATTCAGTGCCGGTCACAGGAAACGTCGGAAGAGAGATCCCGTCGACTCCAGAACGCCCGTGATCGGTAGAGTCCGGCGGTACCAGGCAACGTCAGGACAGACATCCCGTTGAGTCCAGAACGCCCGTGATCGGCAGAGTCTAAGCCGATCCCAGGAAACGTCAGGACAGACATCCCGTCGAGTCCAGAACGCCCGTGATCGGCAGAGTCAGCGCCGGTCCCAGTAAACGTCAGGACAGACATCCCGCAGTCTGCAGCCTCTTTTGCCGTCGAACAGGATACGTATTTATATAGGAGACTGTAAAGTTATGTAATGTCCAAATTTCGACGTGAGCAGTAGGCCTTGACAGATTATGCTAATATTTTCGTGAAATTATGCTTTTCGCATTGCTGAAAAAATTGCAGAATTATGCTATTTTTATGCTAAAAGTTATCATATTATTCCGCATTATGCTCACATATGCTGCCAATGTATAATGATGGTTCTGTGCAAAATAACAGGTGAATTTTTTTGTAGAGGGCGTTGTACTGTAGTAGCAAAAGTTCAACGAGGTCAACGCACCGTCCGACCTAGCTACGACCGTCACCTTGGTCACTGATTGTAGTGGACTGGACATGTTATCAAGGGAGTCGGAAACCTATGCCTTCCTAGTGCATCTTGTGTGCTCCCCTACGCATTCACGCTGCACCACTTTTCACTACTTTCACTTTAGCTCATACATGTACATGTACATCCTTCAAAGCGGTGAACCCCTTGATAGGCGACAAGCCTCTGGGTCATCCTAATAAAGATATTATTATTATTATGCAAATAATCGACGTGGAGACAACAATTTTATAATAGCAATAAAAAGAACAAATTCTGCAGTCATCGCCACACTACAACGAAGTCATGTAAGTTTACCAGAATTAATTTTCTTGTCACATTCATCAGTGGAAAGTCGTGACTGAAGAG